CATGGGGCACTTTCTTGATTGTTGAGTGATGTGGGAGGGCCCAGCCCACTGTGGGTGGTGCCACCCCTGGGCAGGTGGACCTGTGTTGCATAAGAAAGCGGGCTGAGCAGGGGCCAGGGAACAAGCTAGTAAGCAGCGTTCCTCCATGGCCTGTGTTCCAGCTCCTGCTTCCAGGTTCCTGCCCTGGGTTCCTACCTTGGGCTCCCTGATGAACTGTGACCTGGGAGATATAAGCTGAATAAACCCTTTCCTTCCCAAGTTGGTATTGGTCAGAGTATTTTGTCACAGCAATGAAGAACAAACTAGGACAACCCATAAACATTATTATAACTCAGGAATGTGAGGAAATTCCTGAAAATTAGATTCACAAGGCCCTTCCTTCCCCAAGGTTATAAAAGCCCTAAAGACTACTTAGGACTCTCTGACCTATCAAGCTGCCTGAAAATCATGCAGAGAGCGCCAGGTTTTCAGTGTTTGTGAGTTGCCCCAATATTGGGATGGGCTTTCGGGGGTGCCCTGAGTGATCCATGTTCCTGTAAGCACCCTTACTCATACATTTGTTTCAGTTTTTTTAATTAAGCTTTTTAAATTTCATACATTTCCCACTCAAATCCAAACCCCCTCCCCCATCCATGTCTTTCCCATTCCCCCACCAAACCTATGGACTCTGCCATAAATGCTGAGTCCTATTCATTCAGGTGTTTGCACCCAAATGTCCTTCAGTGTAACTGCGTCCACTGGCATCTAGTCAGCCCATCCAGTGGTTGGATGTAAGTCATACTCTCCCTCACCCAACTCTCCCTCACCCAGCAGCAAGCAGTCTCAAATAGTTCTCAATCTAGTGCTGGCCCACCATGTACTTTGCACCTCCCCTTTAGACTTACTTTTCTAAGTACCTCCAATAAACTCACTGGTTCTGAACTTTGGTGGTACTGTCTCTTTGGTTTATCAGGAGGAGATGTTTGCTCATATTTCTCCAAGAATAGTGCCACAACACTCCTCACTCAGACACTTGCACAGGAAATACAGAGGAGATCACAAGGAGAAATAGATGTGAAAGGAAGAGGAAGAGGAAGACAGGGGTTTCTGGCCAAATATTCTAGCACTTTAGTACTTTTTTCAAGTTACCTGAGCTAACTGCTTAAAAAGCAATGTCCAGGTATACTCTACAGAACTGATAGCAGACCCAGGAATCTAGCTGGCCTTACACAACACTTCCAGAAATACTGGACAGAATTAGAAAGTGACACATGGTGAGGACTGGAGGCAAGCCACAAGTTCTACCACAAGATGGTAAGCCTGGGTATCTGGAGATCTTTTGAGAGACACTAGACATCATGATATATTAAACAACCAGTTATATTCACGTAGCTATAAAATGACCTCATAGAATAAAAGGCTTTCTAAAATACATCATCAGCATATTCTTACCTGTGGTACAGTAACCCACATTAGAAATATAGCTGTTTGAGCCGGGCGTGGTGGCACACACCTTTAATCCCAGCACTCAGGAGGCAGAGGCAGAGGCAGGCAGAGCTCTACATAGTGAGTTCCAAGACAGCTGGGGCTACAGGGAGACCCTGTCTCAAAAAGACCAAAAAAAAGCTGTTTTTGCCTCATGAAAGATCTAGTTGATTTGCCTTTTCATAAGGTGAGCTAGTTAAGGGAACATTGTTCACTTTCTATGAATCATCATGCCTAGGGGGAGAATACCAGCTCCCCTTCCCTGCAGAACTCTCAAGTTTCAACACATTTAGGGGCAAGGTGTGTGCTACAAGAAGTCTGTGTCACAGATCATTTTCATTAGCAGATTTGGTACTACAGAAAGAAACTGTGGATCAGGGCTGTGGCACAACTAAGCTGAGGAAGTATCTTTATTCTGGAGTGACCATAATCAAGGAAAGCCCAATGGGATTAGAGTAAAGCTTTACCTTCACTTAACATCTTTTCTGATTTCCAGACCACTGTGGGTTTCCTCTGGGGGAAAAAAGATCTTTACTTCAAGGCCCTACATCAAGTGGTACAGTGCATACATGCAAGGCAAAACACTTATATGCATAATGTAAATTTTCTAATAATCATAATGACTGGTCGAGAAAACTATATTGGTGCAGTAGTGACACTTTTATTTTGGGAGTAATCAATAGCTATCTAATTGGACTCAAAGCCTGCTCAATGGGAACTCATGTGTGGTACTGTAAACACAGCCAAATACACATGGCTAGAGAGGTCATAGATCTTAGAGAAAACCCTACATCTGTCATATCCCTAGATAAAGATAATTTTTTACTGTATGCTAAATATTGGTTCTTATATTTATAGACTAGTATACCTGTCACCACTCATTAAAGAAACTTCTTTTTGCAATAGATGGAGACTATTACAAAGTTTCACAACTGGTCACGTAGAGAATAAGTATCTGTGAGGTGCCCAGCCCTAAGTGACACATTTATAATGCAACCTCTACACCTAAGGCTCATGGAACATAGTGGAACAGAGGGTAGAGAGAATGTATTAGTATACATCTCTCAACTGTCACCAGTAAAGCTTCCTCATGCAACAGATGGTGATTAACATAGAAGGCCACAACTGGTCAAAGTGGAAAGAATAAGAGACTGCAGAGTGCATGTCCCTGGATAGGACTCCTATATTAACCTCTGCGACCCAGGGATCAGGGACCATTGTTGAAGGGAGGTGGGGTAGATCTTGACCACAAGGAAACAGTCTTCCAGGTTTCTAGAAACTTGCTTATATGAACTTACAGAAATGCTGACAGCATGCACAAGACTCATGCAAATTCAGACAAAAGCCCAGTACAGAACTGGGAGGAAGGCCCCAACATTAGCTAAGGGAACTACTGACAGGTGACACTGCTGGGTGAAGGACTGTTGAACTTCTCTCTGTAGTCCCAGCTGTCCTGGAACTCGATATGTAGACCAGGCTGGCCTCAAACTCACAAAGATCTGCCTGCCTCTGCCTCCCAAGTGCTGGAATTAAAGGCCTGTGCCACCACACCCTGCAAAGTTGGTCTTCTTTAGGGGAGTGATACTTGATAGGCTGAATATGCTCCAGTGGATGAACTCGCACTGAGACACCTTAACATATATGACAGAATGCATGAAATCTGGTGGGTGGTCTATGGGGGGGGTGAGAATAGGAGAGCAGATCCAAATGTGATTAAGATGTATGAAATGCACAAAGATTCAGTAAAATATATTGAAATAACTAATTTAAAAATGGATGTTGGGTGTTTGAAGTACAGTTGAATAGCCACACACTATGATTTGCCTTCCTGTGATTTTTTTTGGGGGGGGGGTGGTCAGGAAGCAATTAAACCTCAGGAATGCACCTCCTGCCTGGTGTGGTGACTCATGCCTACAATGTCATCACCTGGGCTACACTACAAGTCCCAGGCTAGCCAGGGCTACACAGCAAGACCCTGGCTCCAGGACAACTAAAAAATGGAACAGGTCACACTTTGCGAAGGAAGGAGTGTTCACTTTGGGGGCTTCTGCACTCATGTTTATTGGTGACAGCAATTATTTCCAAGTACAATAGCATGCTAAGGGTTAAGCTCTGTGAAGCGATTACTGGACAGTAGCCAAGATCCGAGAAACACCATAGCTCCTGGGAGTAAGCACTGAACTAGGTGCACCAGAGCACTGCCTTTAGTGTTCAAGGTGAGGAAGTGGGAGGGAGGACCGGAGGGGTGTTGGGGGAAAGTAAGATACACATCCACACGTCCTGAAAGCCCGAGCACACGTTTCATGCCAGCTGAAGAAGCGCCTTTTCCAGAAGCCCAGAAAGAAACGGTGCACCGGGAGCTGTTTCAACCTGTCCGCACCCTCGCAGTCAGGGTCCACGGGGAAGCGCGGCCGCCACACCTCGCCTCCCCGTCCTGGCTCCTCCTTTCCCCTCTTGTCCCCGGGCTGCCGTCGGAGCGAGCAATGCGCGGACGAGGGCCAAGTTCTGACGGGCTTCGCTACGGACCTGGAGGCCCCCAGACCGGTCTGCGGTAGAGTGGCGGCGGTAGCGCCAGGTACCGGCGGGGACAGCAGTCCGTGGGCTGCGCAAGGAGCCTGACGCCGCAGCCACGCCAGCGCCCCGCCCGGCGGCCGGCCTCACACGGTTATCTGCGTGACCGACCCGAGCCGGGAGGGCGGGAGCTCGGGAGGGAGGAGGGAAGACTGCTCGGGCCCGCCCACTCCCCGCCTGGCTGGCCGCCACCACCCTCTCTCTTCATTGGCCACAGGCCGACGTCCATCACCCACAGGCGGCGCTGGGATTGGCGGAGGGTGCACTTCTGGAGCAAGGCGTGCAGAGTAACTTCGGCGGCCGCCCGCGGCTGGTCTTCGCCTCCCCTCGGCTCCACGTCCACCCACCTCTCCCCGCCCCCACCGCTTCCCCCGCCGGACGCGAGGCAGTGTCCTTAGAAGACTCATTGGGCCTGGGGCGAAACCAGCCGCCTAGCGAGCCACGTCTTCATTGGCTGGTGCTCACGCCCGTCGGGGCGGCGAGCCCTGCCATTGGCCAGCCTCGCTGCGTCCCGCCCCGCCGCCTCGCCTCCGTCACCGCCTTCCCTCGCGGCTTCCCTGTCCAGCTGGGCGGGGACTGCCGTACGACTCTGTAAAGTCTGTGAGTCACTGCACAACCCATCAATCCAATTAAATGTCTTGAGCGAGCCGAGCAGGCGGTGCTGCCCGCCGCCGGCCGCCTCTGCTCGCAGCGCCCCTCCATCCATGGCAGGCGGGCCGCGCTGCCCCCGGTGCACGCTCCCGTTCGGCCGCCGCAACTTGCAGTCCGCCGGCCAGTGCTCCGGGGCCGCCGAGGCATGGGCTAGCCCCCGAGCCGCCTAGCCCCGCGTCCGCTGCAGCCCCCAAGCGGTCTCGCCCCGTTAGTCCGCGTCGCCCTCGCTGCACCCGGTGCTTCCCTCAGCGGGGCAGGGTCGGAGGGTCGGCGGGCTGCTCCTGAAGAGGCGCTCGCTCCCCCTCGGGCCGTGCCTCGGTTTCCCCGCTCCTCTGCGCCCTTCCACCGCCGTGGGACTCCCCGTCGTGCACCGACCGACGCTCCCCGCCCACGGTCCAGACTCCCCGACCTGCCTCGGAGCTGGACCCGGCGCCGACTTCGCGGAAGGTGAGGACGGTGTTGGGGTGGGGTCTGCAGAAAATGTGGCTGCCAGGCCACTTTGGGGGAGGGCAGGGGTCAGCTTGTGGCTGGAGGCTCCCGGTCCCGCGTGGATTTGAGGTGGTGACTCCCCGCCCCCCCCACCTCCGCCCTCGACGCCTTCCTTATTCTTCTGTCTTGCTGTATTTCTAGATATTGCTAGACTTCCACAGCTTATAAAATAATTGATGATGGCATGCTTTCTGTCTTTCGGATGCCGAAGTGAGCAGTAATAGCGATGTGATCTGATGGGCTGTATGCCCTGCAGAAAGTGTCAGATGCCTAATTGGGAATATTTTCCTCTAAATCAAAGTTAACTTTTATTCCGTAAAGGCAAAGCAAAAAGATATTTTTAATTTGAATGCATGATGACAGAGGAAGAGAAGACTGGTTGCCTAGTGCTTTTATTTTAGAATAATTTGTTGGCTTCTTTCCGAAGAAGATGAGTTCCGTATTAAAGGTTCCGAAGTCTGGACCTGTTGGAAAGCAAGGTGAGCTGGGAATCAGCTTGACATTGCTTCAGTTCCCGCCTGCTCCAGGGAGGAATGGCAACACAGAATTTTGTTAGTCCTTGGTCCCTGGACTCAGTGCAGTGCTGTATGGGTAGAAAAGGATGTGGGTTTTGTTTCTTTTGGTACACCTTTTGTGACTTGATTACCCTTGAAACAGTGCCATCCTACAGAATTTTATCAGTTTTAAATTTTGCTTCTCAGTCTTCAGTGGCTCAAAACTACACATACTGTGTGCTCATGACAGTCTTACCTTATGAATCTTTAATATTTTGTTGAGGTAAAAGAAAGAATTATGAGAAATGGTTAATCTGAATTGGCTTCTGAGGTCACTGTGTAGAATTCAGCAGTATTAAGTTGGAGTGACTCTCTTTAAGTGGAGTTCTGTGCTAGTTGTCCACAAGATTTAGATTAGGCCAAGCCAAACATGTTAAACTGTTCAAGTGCAGGAAAGGCCTCTTAGTTCATTCCCTACTTCTCTTTTAGACTAACCAGAATAAGTTGTTACTAAATTTAATTTTAAAGAATAGACTATTCCTGTGCTGAAATCTGCCAAGTTGCTACAGAAAGATTTCTTTTTAGAGCCTTGTGTGGTACAGGGTGGTGCAGCCTTTAATCCCAGCTCCTGCAAGACAGAGGCAGGCCAGTAGCCATGCGGTCCAGGCCAGCTACACGGTCCCAAAGAAAAAAGAAATTTTATATATTTATTATTTTTAATTTTTGGGGGGTCTTTTTGAGACAGGGTTTCCCTGTAGCCCCAGCTGGCCTAGAACTCACAGAGATTGGCCTTGAACTCACAGAGATCTGCCTGTTTCTACCTAAGAAATTTTAAGAGCAGAAATGTGTTTATGATCAATCCAAAGTGGTGAAGTTGAAAAGTAACTTTCACGTAAATGCTGTTTTAAAGAAATGCTCATCTCCAGCCCCCAACCCTTTCAGTGTGTTTCAGGAAAACTTATATGAAGTCTTTTTCATTTGTTTAATTCACCATGTGACTTTTTTCATGAGGATGAGGTCTAACTTTTGAAAGAGGCCTTGTAGCACTGGAGACCCTGCTTACCTGAATTTGAATCTTGCCACTGTCCTGACATGGACAGTGTCCTTGCCACAGAGCCCTCAATGGCTCTGTGACCTTGGGCAAATTTTTAAACTGGCCTGTGGTGGTTTTCTCCAGTAAACAGGAGGGAAGACTCCTCCTCAGAAGGTTTTTGCAGGGATTGATCAGAGTGCTTGTCACTGAGTCAGCAGTGCTAGCTGCCCCTCTCGTTCCCATTCTCATAGGGTGCCTAGTGTGGGTGTTAAGAGTGAAGCCCTGGGGTCTGGGGAGATGGCTCTGATGGCTTCATAACCCAAGCACCCATAGAAATGTGGCAGCCTGCCTATAATTCTTGCACTGGGGAGGTGGAGACAGAGAACTCCAGAGGCAAACTAGCTAGACTAACCAAATGGGTAAGTTCTGGGTTCAAGTGAGAGACCTTGTCTCAAAACAAGATGGAGAGAGATGGAGGAAGACACCAGACGTTGATCTCTGACCTCCACACTCATGTGCACACAAACATACATGTGCACCTGCACCCACATATGAACATACATACACAAATGCACTCACACCACACAACACACACACATGCCAAAAAGAAAAGAGACTAGGCTGCCAGCACTCATCAGTAGCCCACCTGCTTGGGATCCTGAAGCAGGGGATCACCTGAGCCCAGGAGTTCCAGACCAGCTTGGACAACATGGTGAGTCTCTGTCTCAAAAAAACAAAAAGTCTCAGTATTTCCTCTTGCCATCTCTGTGCCATCAGCCAAGTTAACCTTAGATGCCTCATCTATAAAATGAGAATGACAGTAGTACCTACTTCGTGGGGCTGTGATGAGGACAAGAATGAGTTAAAGCAGGTGAAGATTTTGAATAGCATTTGGTACTTCTTTCTAAATTTAGCTCTGTTTATGTTCCTTGTATACAAGTGACTTACTGTTTTGTGTGTGTGTGTGTGTGTGTGTGTGTGTGTGTGTATTTTTTTTACTTACTGCACTAGGGATCAAACCCAGGACCTCGCATATGTTAAGGCAAGTACTCTACCACTGATCTGCATCCCTACCTAGCAGTATTTGCTGTTGAACTAGAGTTTATATGAAAGTTGAAAAAAATCAGTTATCTGGTGGCATGCACCTGTAACCCCAGAACTCCAGAGGCAGAGGTAGGAGGGACATTGCAAGTCTGAGGCCATCCTGATCTACATAGCAAGTTCCAGGCTCACCAGGACTATGTCATGAGACCATCTCAAAACCCCTCCGAAAGGACTCACATTTAAAAACCTGGGTCTGGTGATGTGTGCTTGTAATCCCAGCATTGCAGAGGCAGTGACAGATGGAGGATCACTGGCTGGCCAGCCAGTCTTGCCTACATGGCTAGTTCTAGGTCTGTTTCAAAAACAAAGTGGGTGATGCCTGAGGAATGTTTCTTGAAATTGACCTCTGGCTTGCACATAAACACGCAACATGTGTATACACATACATGTACCTGCACACAGGAACGTGCACTGGTGCATAGGAACATGTGAATACATAAAACACATACATGGGGGTTGGAGAGATTGCTCAGGAGTTAAGAGCACTGGCTGCTTTTGCAGAGGACCTAGGTTCGAATCCCTGCACCCACAGGCAGCTAACAACGGTCTGTAACTCCAGTTCCAGGGGCTCTGACAACTTCTTTTGACCTCCAAGGACACTGCATGACTCGGGTGCATTTACACATACGCAGGCAATACTCTCATACACATAAAATAATAAATAAAATACTTTAAAAAATAAAACACACACACACACACACACACACACACACACACACACACTCTCCAAAAAAAGAAACAGAGAAAAGGAATTCAGTTATTGGGCACTGCATGTTGGAGCAAACCTGTAACCCCAGCATTCAGAAAGCTGAGGCAGAATGATCAGGAATTAAAGGCTAGCTTGGGCTACACAGTGAGACACTGTTTAAGAGGGAGGGGGGAGAAAGGAAAAAACTTAGGTATCAGATCAGTTGACTTTACCATTCTTTGACTTTTTTGTTTTGTTTTTTTTTAGATTAGGTTGCACCCTGTAGTCCAGGCTAGCTCTAAACTTGTGCAGAGAGAGCCTCCTGCCTCAGCCTCTTGAGAGCTGGGATTTCAGGCAAGAGCCACAGTGCCTGGCTTTCTTCCATTTAAATTTGCATAGTAAAATGCACCCACCTCCAATAAAATCATTACAGCAATCACACGGTTGTTGTCTGTGGTTTTCTCCTCTGCTTATACAGAAAGCTCTTTGAAAGGTAACAATAGTGTTTCATTTGTGAATTAATTGCTGGTCCCTAGCAAAGTTTCTGGTATATAAAGAAGTGAATAATGCTTGTGAAATTAATTAAACAGTGCTTTCTTCTTGAATTGTTTGAGTAGCTGAATGAACATTATAAGTATTAGTGTGGAGAACACTGTTACCTGTATTGTTGAATTGAATTTTCACTTTCTTATTTTTGTAATTAGAGAATAAATCAGACTTATAATATAATTTTTATTAACAAATTTTCATTTTGAAGATTAAATTGAAAATAATCTGAAAAGCATGTTACCTGCCATGTCCAGGTTTTAATCCTAAGACCTTCTGACATCTCAAATGGTGACATGATATGATTCAGAGTTAAGAAGAGAATTTAACAGCCCAGCACTGTCAAGTGAAAAGATCAGACCAAAGCTTTACTTCTTTCCTTGTTTAAGAGCAAATCTTTCTCTTGAATAGTCTTAATAATAATTAGCTGCTGAAGTAGCCACAGTAATAATGTGGTAGGAGTCAAAATGGAGGTATATGTAATTAGTAAATAAAACACTTAAACTTTCCCACACTGTTTATAGGTATCACAGAATCAGGAAATAACATTTTTTAAAAATAAGCAAAATTGATGGGACCTATTCCCTACTTCATTTATAGAACCATTTTGTTTTACTTGTCAATAAAACATACTTTAATTGCTGTACCCTCTGGTTATAAAATGCATGAATTAAAATTTAAAAAGTATCAGAAGGGTTACCAAGTTTTATAACATGGTTAAAACTTTTCAAATACATGAGTTATCTATTGGAGCTGGGTAATTCTGTGTATATAATCCTCTAATCAAATTATGTTACACAATTTAGTTGAGTATATTACTTTGTCATTGGCTAAAATATTCAAATTTTAGAAAACTTGTCGTCGTGCGTGTATGTTGTCGTGTCTGTGTCATCAGGTCGTGTTCCCCCCTGCCCCCTCGTTTAAAGCTAGAGTCAGAGTCTCCTTGTGTAGTCCAGGCTGCCCTGGAACTTGTGATTCCCCTACTTCAGCCTTCTGAGTGCCTGGATTAAAGATGTGTACCCCAGCACCCAGCTGTTCATATATACTTTCTTAGTTTTTTGTTTTTTGAGACAGGGTTTCATAGCCCTGGCTG